AAAAGATATAGAATGGTGCAGGCAAAAGAAAGTGGTTGTGGCTAGCACCGAAAGTAAAAAAAAAAAATATATATATATATATAATTAAAAAAAAAGGGGGTCATGATGGTGCGGTGTGTGCATATATATATAATGTAATATGTATAAAAATTATATATATAATAATTGCATTGAGAGAAATAAAGTTCATTTTATTTATTTCTATATATAAAAAAAAATTAATTAAAAAAAAATTACATTGAGAGAAATAAAATCTATTTTATTTATTTCTCTGGAAAGATTACATAAAATTGCATTCTACATACAAAAAAAAAAAAAAATTTACAAATGTGCAAACAAACGGGAAGGAGTCTTCATGCTCAGGTGGTGTCTCAGTACTCGGCGGAGCTCTAGGAAAAAGAGACGTCGGAGGTTGACTGTTTGAAGTCACACCACTCGGCGGAACTCCAGGAAGAAGAGGCACCGAAGGTTGATCATTTAAGGCTTCATTACGCGGCACAGCCCCAGAAGACGAAGGCAAATGCTGCTGGAACAAACCCACAAACCTCTGATGATCAAGTAAAATCTGACCATCAGATTCCTGCATCTGGTCAATCTTCCTCTTCATGTTTGTCGCATAGCTATGGGCGAGCTTATGCAACTGTTTATTCTCCTGCTTGAGCCCTCTAATCTCTTGTTTGAGAATCATCACCTCAGCTGCCAATGATTCAACTTGACGGGTTCGAGCAAATAGGCGTTGGGCCATATTAGACACTGAACCTGCACACTGCACACTAAGAGCCAGAGAATCCTTAACAGCCAACTCATCAGACCGTTTGGAAAGTAGTCTGTTATCTCTGGGAGTGACAAGGTTTCGGGCCACCACCGCAGCGGTCATATCATTCTTCACCACTGAATCCCCAACGGTAAGAGGACCAGTAGGGGATATGAAGGATGGGCGCCATATGTTGTCTGGAGAAGGTGGGACTGCCTCTTCACCAAGATTCAAGTCAAAACGACGGTCGGAGGGTCCAGACATTTTCAAAGTGTTGAAGGAAGAAGAGATCGGACAAATCAAGATCTTAGAAGTACAAGAAGAGAGTTTTCACAAGTAAAATTCAAGTGTGCTTTGAAACGAACAGCGTGCCTTTATAAAAAATTAGCACTCGACGGGATTTTAGAGATCGAAGAGGCGATCTCAGAATTCGAAGATGCCATTCAAAAATCGAAGAGGCAAGCTCAGAAATCGGAGAAGCATCTTGCTTTTCCAGACGCGTCGGCACCCGTCACACGCAAACTCAGCTTTGCGAAAATCACGGGCAATTTGTCGAAGCACCGATCCCAGATATCGAAGAGGCGCCAGTCTTTTTCAGCCGCGTCAACACCTGTCACATGCACACTCAGCTTGGCAAAAATCACGGGCAATTTGTCGAAGATTTTCGGTGAAGGAGAAAGCACATGAAGTATACTGTTCAATCATCCAACGGTTGTCGACACGAGTGAAAGAATAGTACATCTACAAGTGTTAAAGAAATTCCTATAACTGTCCATCTTCACCCTCCATAGCAAGGCAGACATACAGAACCTTTCTTCATCTATGAGAATGCCTTCCCAACGAAGCCTCTTGAGTTACCCAGTGTTCCTTATTCCTTGGGGTACCTCTGCAAGCCAATGACTCCAAAGCAAAAGTATCTCATATCACCAGGGTAGAAAGTAAGAGTATCTCATATCATGCGTTCTCCCTGTCCTTTCCTTTGTCCTTGTTCTTACCTACAAAGACAAGGATAAAGAAAACAATATGCCGGAACTTCCACTCAAACTCGGGTAAGGAACCGACTGCTTGGAACCCTCCCCTGATTGCCTACCTAGCACTGCTATCGAGTACTCGCCTTCCACTGCTGCTGTACTTTCAAAGAAGCTGCCACATCTGCCTGAAGAACAGATAAGGCAAGTGAAAATGATACCTTGCAGCATGTGGAGACAAGGTGCAGAAGGAACAAGCAGAGAAGAATGCGGTCTGCACGGTCAACTCAGCAGAAGGAGTCCGAACTAAGGAACTCAAGAAGCTGCCATATCTGCCTGAAGAAACAAGCAGAGAAGAATGCAGCATGCACAGTCAACTCAGCAGAAAGAGTCTGAGATGAAGAACTCGAGAAGATGTCGCATCTGCCTGAGGACGGTGAACTTGTTTTGACCCTCAAATTCTTGGGTCGACTTACTAGGCGTTGTGGGCTGCACGTGCCGATTCAGCACCCTTGAATCGAATCCTTAAAGATCAAGTCACCAACTGGAAGAAGAGTTCATCAATCTTGAAGATCATACCGTTGACCAAACTGCTTAGGTGTGAATTAGAAAGATTGAACAAAGAAACAGGTTGTCACCTTTACCTCGTGCCTGCTTGCCATGTGTTCGAGTCAACTTTCAAGAATCAAGCCTCAACGGCCCTTGAAGAAGTTTCCAGCCAAATTCAAGATCAAGCCTCGACGGCCCTTGAGGAAATCACAAGTCCGATTCAAGATTAAGTGTTTACCACCCTTGAATCAAAACCTAGTTTAAGAATAAGCTGTGGAAAATAAACAATTGGAGGAATCCAGAAAATCCTCCAACCCAGTTCAAGATCAAAGCTGTGGAAAGTCAACAAGCACAACAAAAGTATGTGCCAATTCACCCACTACCAAAGCCAAAGATCATTTACCACATGAAGCTCCTTGTGGTCCAATTTCAACCTTCAAGATCAAGTCTCGAAGGCCCTTGAAGAAATTTCAAACAAAAGTTCAAGAACAAGCCTCAACGGCCCTTGAAGAAATCTCAAGCCCAATTCAAGATCAAGCCTCAACGGCCCTTGAAGAAATCTCCAGCCCAATTCAAGATCAAGCCTCGACGGCCCTTGGATCGACATCTACAGTAAGGGACTTCAAAACGCATATCCTACACGTGACAAGCACATGTATACGACGTGCCTTGAAGTGGGGGCATTTGTAGACATCGAAATTTCGGTAAATAAATGTTGACCGGTAAATCAAAGTGTCAACGCTCATGTATTACATAAATTTTACACGTAACGTGTGACTCAACGAAAATTGAAATGAGTTGGAAAAGTCATCAAATAGGACACGTGTCAACACCTGGCAGAAACGACTTATTTCATCTGGAATATTATATTCAAAATTAGGCCTTGGAAAATTCTATAAATACAAGCCCATTTCATTCATTTGAGAGGACCAATTCATATTACACCTTGAAGCTCTGAAGCTCTGAAGCTCTGAAACTCCGAAGCTCTCAAGCATCCAGGTTCCCGAAGAATCAAGAAAGTGTTCTTCGTTCTTCGTTCATCGTTCTTCCAAGATCAAGCCTCGACGGCCCTTGGATCAACAATCATCCACCTTCAAGATCAAGCCCCGACGGCCCTTGAAGAAAGCGTTCTTCGTTCTTCGTTCATCGTTCTTCCAAGATCAAGCCCCAACGGCCCTTTGGATCAACAATCATCCACCAATTCAAGATCAAGCCCCGACGACCCTTGAAGAAATCACCATCATTCATCATCCGTTCATCCAAGATCAAGCCCCAACGGCCCTTTGGATCAACAATCATCCACCTTCAAGATCAAGCCCTGACGGCCCTTGAAGAAAGTGTTCTTCGTTCATCGTTCTTCCAAGATCAAGCCCCAACGGCCTTTTGGATCAACAAACGTCGACAAATCCACACATCCAACCGTTCTTCAAGATTAAGCCCAAAAGCACTTGAAGATCTGTTCATCACTGTTTCTTCAAGATCAAGCCCAAAAGCCCTTGAAGATCCGCTCAAATCCACCTTCAAAGATCAAGCCCACGGCCCTTTGAAGAAATTTCCAACTGTTCATCCAAGATTAAGCCTCGACGGCCCTTGGATCAACGAAACACCCACCAATCAACACCTTACGGAGATCGAATCAGAGGATCAAATTTGAGAGAGATTGTAACCCAAAATCATCAAATACAAAATATTTGTTTGTGCGCGTTGTTCTTGTCTCTTTCGTTTCAGGAATTTTCCGTGTTCACAGTGGCATGTCGGGATTGGTCGAAAATATTATCGGAAATATATCAACAAAATAGTACGTTCAGATAATGACACGTGGCATGACGTGATTGGTTGAAAATCTTAGCGGAAATCTATTCACAAAATAGTACGTTCAGATAATGACATGTGGCGTGACGAGATTGGTTAAAAATCCTATCCGAAATTAAAACTATTTTATTTTTTTATTCTTTTAGACAAATTTGAAAATATTTTAAATGGGCTGGGTGCCAACGCATTTTGTAAGGATGGAGATCGTTTGTGCCAGCGCATTTTTTTAGGGGTGGAGATGCCTTGACCTATTACTGTTCATTTGAGTGGATAAATGCGCTGGGTGCTTGCGCAAAGTCTTAGGGGTGGAATTGCTCTAATAGTGAAAAGTACATGGCAACGTCTTCAGTAGGGTGATTAGGTGCAACGGTTCACATTAGGGCTGATTTTGAGTTGCTTAAATTTTTCCGAAATCAGTTTCTTAAAAAAGTTGAAGTTAAAATTATGTAAGGAAAATGAAAAAAGTATTTATTTATTTTTAAATTACGGGTCTAAAACAACAGAAAGCAGAAGCAGTTTTATCTATGCTTCTAAAAAAAAACATATATTTTTTTCATAAGAGGCGGGTAAATGGCAATTAATAAAATTTTCATATTAACAATCTTACCCTTGTTTCTTTTTCCTAAACCTAATGCGCCGTTTTTCCTAAAAACACTTTACACTATAATTTACCCAACGTTTACCTATTATTCTTCCGTCACAATAATAACTATTTTGAATAAAAACACAATAATTCCAAACTAGTCCGAAGAGAGATTGTTATACCAACGCCAAACCTCAAAAATCAACAAGCTGTTTCAATCACGAACGTCCATTCCTTCGTCACGGAAGATATAAGTTCTCATTTCTCCAGCGAATAATCTCACGTGGGCTCCACCTACTTCCACCAATTTAAAACATTTGAAATCACACACAAAAAAATAAAATAAAATTCGAACGGACTGGTTAAAACCGAACCGCCCACCAAAGTTTACTCTTTCTCTCTCTCCCTCTCCGATTTAAACATTTCAACCTCACTGCAACTCAATCCACGCCGTCAATCTTCAATCACAGATTCACACCCCAAATCCCGAAGGTACCTTCTCAAATTCCACTTCATTTCTAGGGCTTCGATTCCCATCGATTTGGCGATCAAGATTCACCATCCAATTTTTATTTTTTTTTTCTTCTTCAGATTTCGTGATTAGAGTTAAAATTCGAAGCTCATGGCGCGGATAAAGCCCCAGGCGCTGTTAATTCAGAGCAAGAAGAAGAAGGGGCCGACTCGGATCAGTACCACTACCATAGTTATGTGCAATTTAATCATCGCTCTGGTCGCCTTGTCGTTGATCGCTACTTATCGCTATTGGTCCAGAAGGTAACATTTCAACTGGTATTTTCAAAAAAAAAATAATAATAATTTAATTTGTTTGGAAAGTAATTATAGTGTTAATTATGGATAATTTCAGCTGCTTATTTGTTTTGCGCGCTAATTTACTCTCATAGGTCGCTGGACCAATCTGGGTCGGAGTTATCTAATCAAGAGGTATTAATATCAATTGGGTATTTTCCATTTGTGTAATTAATTATTAAATTAATCTTCTTGTTTGGAAAATAATTATGAGTAAATGCGTAGTTGACTAAATTTGGTGGTTTTTTTTGTTTGTTTTTTCAGAAAATTGATGTGTTTGGAAAGAAGGACGATCTTCCGGGTTATGCTGTAAGTCTCTTAAGTTCTTAACACATTCGATGTACTGCCAATTTGCTCTTTGGTGTCACATTGCATGAACCTGCAATTTTTTATTTCTAGGATTAATGAAGCGGGGTGGTTGTTGTATCGGTGTGGAGGTTAAATTTGTTAGGCCGCAAAATTATCAACAAATTTCTTTTCTCAGACGGTATCTGGGTTGTGGACATTGCATGCCATCATGCATTTGCTTGATATAACCTGATGGCCATCAGTTTTGGGAAACTTTAATACATTAGAATTGCTGTGTTGGTTTAAGTTGCTGGCGTTTCATTCCTATACTTTCTGTTGGTGTTTTCGTTAGTTTTATTCACCTTTCTGCTTTTCCAACTTGCGAGTTATTCACTCTCTTTCTTCTCCCTCCCCCTTGTGTATTGTTTAGATTCTAAATACATCAAAGGGTCCTATCACAGTGGAACTTTTCAAGGAGGCTTCTCCAGAGGTTGTGGATAGATTTATTGACTTATGGTGAGTATGAATGTTTAGTAGTCGAAGATCATCTCTCGGTTTGAAGTTCTTTCTCTACAGTGTAAGAGAATAAAGTTAAAATTATGGGACAGGGGGTGACTTAGCACATAGCTGTTGCTAAATTACCAATACACGAAACTTCCTAATAATAAAAATGTTCTCATTTTAGGGGTATTCTTATCAGCCATTTCATATATTTTGTTGTAGCTCCTTTTTGAATTATTAAATACACACCAAGTTAAAGGTTATGTGTTATTTCTATAGCCTTGGTGATGCAGATACGTGGTTGACTTGTATCTAGGCTACATTGAGGTCCTAAGTGTATGTTTTATTGGTACACTAAATATAAATAAAATCAGAACTTCGACGATTAGATATCATTTCAATATTCTGATTAGCAGTAGCAACCAGAAATAGACTTGCTTGGTTCTTGTGGTTGTAAGGGCAATATTGTGTTATGCTCTCAAGGCACTTCTAAGGCATTAGTTTTGCAGTCAAAAGGGACGCTTCAAGGGGATGCCCTTCAGTCATGTGATCAAGCACTATATAATCAAAGGGGGTGGTTCCCAAGAACTCGGAGCAGCTGAAGATTGGATATCAAAGGGGAAACTTCGTGGTCAACTTGTTACGAGGTTTGTTTCATAGAAAAATCTTATATATTTGTTGTGTGCCCTGTTGGTCCTGTGTTGCAAAACTGATAGCTTATTCTTGCCTGTGTGAACCTGTAGTCCAAAGCACGAAGCTTTTATGCTTGGAACTACGAAGGCTAGACCAGACAACAAAGGATTTGAGCTTGTTATCACAACTGCACCAATACCAGATTTAAATGATAAGCTAATTGTCTTTGGACGGGTCATCAAAGGAGAGGAAGTGGTACAGGTATAAAATTCTGTGCATCTTGGGTAATTTATTATCATGCCTAGACTTGGATAATATCTAATGTACAGTGCTTTGCATACGGTCTTCCATTCAGGAAATTGAAGAGGTCGATACAGATGAACATTATCGGCCTAAATCATCTGTAGGGATCACCAGCGTGATTCTGAAACAGGAGATCTAAGGGCGACCCCATCTAATGTGAAGTATTCCTGCATAGCATGGTTGCTGGTTTGAGCGTCTTCTTGCAGTACATCATTTAGGCTTCTGATGACCCCCATCCAGTTTTCCCGCCTTCACCTCTCCCGATTTGGTTTGTAATTTGCGGTGGGGGATGGGGGAGTTTTGATAAAATTTTCTAGGTATAGGTTCCATATGTGGGGTGGACAAAATACGACCATGCAGCTAATCTGATATGTAAGTTTGTTGTGGTAATCGTTGTGCTATCATTATTTGATATGATTCATTTCGTTCTTATCATGGTATTTCGACACCCGAAATTGTTTGACATAACGGAGGTTAGGGTTTCGATTTCCGCAGTTTTGTAATGGAGATGTTGCACCTTGTTTCTATACGTATTTTTATTTTTGTAGGTTTAATTTTTGTTAATTTGTGAGTCGAATATCACTTTGAGTCACAGTTTTGAGGGCCTAACGATAATTTTGAGTCACAATTCTGCAGCTTAAGAATAATAAAAAGAAATTAGTTGATAATACAATTTTTGGTGCGAATGAGGTGTAAAGATTCAGCAAACGGACCAGCAGTTCGTGGCTAATTACCGGTTTGAAATTTATGGATGACGAGTTTTATACAACATGATTATGACAGTTTTATTGTGTGATTAAATCGAAAACTTTCCTCCATTAGTGTAACATATTGTTGTAAAACAAAAAAAATAAAAAATAAAAAATCCAAAAGTGAACTTTAACTCAATACCGATCTCACACCAGTTCTTGGTTTCTTCAGAGCACTGCGACTGTGGAATATAATTTATCAATATCTATTCTATTGTACTTTATTTTGCTAATTTATGGACCTAGAATTTTACAAAAGTCAACACTATTTTACCCCAAAAAAAAGTCAACACTAATATTATAAAAAGATTATCGAAAATCACAAATTAGATTTTGTCTATAGGGCTATCTCCAATGCCCATGAAATTTTAGAGACAAAGTTATGTATGACTAAATCCCTTTCCAGTAAATCGGAAAAGTTGGGTGAGGTGAACTATCATGAACAAACCAACCCCGAGCAAATGGAAATTATAATTTAAATTTGGTAAGTTGGAATTGTGGGATAACACAATGAAAACAATTCACCGTAAAATTCTAGATTTAAGATATAGTTAATGGTGTATTTGATCACGTTATAATGAAAACAAAAGGTGTCATGATTACTTTTAATATTGGTACATTTAATTGTGTTATAATGAAAACTGAATACGTAACGGTTATTTTTTATAATTTATAGAAGAATCGTACACGACATGTTGCTACACAAAACTGACATGTTCAAATTAAGGCTTATCCAATATTAAAAACGAATACATCCGTTAAGTTCACGGGTTTTGCCGTGTCGCATTAGTGTTAATTATCATCTTGATTGTGAGCAGTGTTGTTGGTTTGAGGCTTGAGCCCTAATATAAACATATCAGCAATTTTAGCGGTTTCTTTGTGTTTTTTAGGCGGGCCATAATTTGTAAGTCCATCCAATAAAATAAATAATAATAAAATAAATAATCAGTGGCCGTACTAGGGTTTTAGGGGTTCAGGGTTTAAGGGGGGGGTTTTTGTCACAGAAACTATTTCAAGCTCCAGTCTTTGCTTCATCAAAGCATCCAAAGCTTATCATTTCGTCGCCAATGGCTGTTCTCCATCACCGTTAGGCAAAATTCTAGGAAAATTTCCCCTCTTCAGTTCCAGGTTTCCAAATTTATGGAGGATTTTGACGATGATTTCGGGGATTTATATGCCGGCGTCGAAGCGCAGGCCAATTCGGCCATGAATGGCGCACCGGACTTCGCTCACTTTTACACAGAACCAGAAGAAGATGTCAGTGAGGATAATGGAAAGGCGAAAACCACTAGTCCTGGAACCGATTCTGACTGCGAGGAGTTGGGCGAGAAAGTTTCTGCTTTGGAGGAGAACGAGGATTACAGTGGAAGTGATAGCGAGGATGACCTGAAAATAGTGCTGAATGATGAGGACTGTGAGGGCAAAGTGTTTCCAAATGGCGGCCGAGGGCGCGTGAAGAATGATGAGCATGAGGATGAGGATAGTGATGGGTTTCCGGCTACGAAAGAGTACAAGGTATTATCTTTTTTGTCTAAATCAATTTGAAACTAGTGATTTTCAATCAGTGGTCACAGAAACTTTTTAGTATTCAGAATCTTTCTGTGTAAACGGAATCTCTCTGCTTTCGATAATGAAAACTATTTGTTCATGTTCATAGATGCTTGGTGCTTTGTGCAGTACATAAGGACTCAAGGACCAACTTCTCTAAGCAATGGAAAGGGCAGTGAGGCTGTGGGTTCAGCGTCTTCCATGTCGGTTAGAGGAGACCATGAAAACAGTTTGTGCTATCAACGCAAGGGTTTGAGCTCTCAGATTAGTTGTATTGGTGATACACCTAATCAAATGGTGCCTCAAAATAGATATGGTTTCAGACTTCCTTGGTACCGGTTAGTAGATTACAAACAAAATATTAAATATGCAGAATGACTATTTTTGTGTAATGTTGAACTGAACTATAGTCTATGACACATTGTTGTCCTTGTTTTCTGTATTCCAGGACCATACTTGACGTCAACATTGAATCGTTTGAGGAGAAGCCATGGAGGTATCCTGAGGTTGATGTAACAGATTATTTCAATTTCGGTTTGAAAGAGGACAGTTGGAAACAGTACTGTATCTCCCTGGTAAATGAAATAGCTTATCTTTGCAAACAAATTTATGATGTAAAAATAGTGTCTCAGTCTAGTCTTCTAGTTCCCATTTGGATGTTCTGGCAGGTTGAAATAGATTTTTCCCGAAGCTTTCTATGCAATGTAACTTGTGGTTGTGCCATTAATGGTCTTGCCATATGGCCAACCGGTTCTCATTTGTTTTCTTAGACACAGTTCTTAGTAAATACAATCCTAATACTTAAAATTCATCACAGGAACAACTACGGCTAACATCTATGCAGTTTAGGATCCCTGTCTCAAGAGCTTCAAAACTTTATCAGGTTATTAGTTTGAATCGTGTGGGAGTCTTGTTATATCATCATAACAGTATTTCAAATTTTACATGTTGACATGTCCACTAATATCTTCCTTCCATAAAATAGGCTAAAGAAGCTGGATCTGAGTATGATAAATTCGCCCAGGAAACTATTTATAAAGAAACGAACAATGCTGGACCAAGAAAGTTTGCTCCTCCATCTAGAGATTCTGATTCCAGTTTCAGAGAGTTGGAACTGGTATGTCGCAGTTTATTACTATTCTCTGATTCTTGTATTCAGAAACTTGGTTTGAGATGTTATGACTTGGCCCTTGATTTCTTCAGCCAAAAGGAAGAGCAATTCAGATTGAAGATAGTATGGTTGAACGCCAACCATCTTTTGATGGTAGGCATCCACGTAGTTTGGATTCTGATGTTGTGATACAGGTTGGCTTTCACTTTGAATTGTCAGATGGATTTGTTGCATCTACCTTATATTCATTTATCACTAATTGCATGATTGGGCAGATTGCGGTGCAGGACGGCACTGAGGAAACCACGAACTCTGGTGAGGAACAGGGCCATACAAATTGTACGGCACATGAGGCATCTGAAAATGTGGAATGTAATGCTAATGGTAACCGAACTATTCCTGCCAAAGAAGATGATTTATCAGTTGGAACTCCAGAAGGAAACACAAGGATAGCAGACAGGTTTGTATTCTGTTATATGTGGGGCCCTAAATATTTCAATTATTAGGTTCCATATATAAAGTTAATTATGATTTCTGAAGGCACATGTAATTCATATAGTTTTCTGTGATATCATCAGTTGTTCCCGGAGGATCAGTGCCACTCATCCAATGACAATAGATTCTGATCAAAGAAATGACCAGTATGTTGATCTGGATGGGTACGACTATAGGCAGGGGAATGCTGTCTCATTGGAGACTACAGAAATTACAAATAAAACAAAGGACAATGTTGGTGGGGATACTTTATATGTTGATCAATGCATGATGGAAGCACAATTATCACTTGGTGATGACGATCAACTTAGCCCCACTTCCTTTGAAAGTGATTATGAGGCATCCAAGAATAGTGTTCATTTTGATCCAGAAGATATTAATACTCCTGCCACATCATCTTTTAAGAACCCAAAAAGCAATGGCATCAAGAGAAAAATAGTTGATATCAAAGATTACTCCATGCATAAAAGTCCTGCTCGAAAGGAGCATAAACATCAGCAAAGGAGGCTTGACAGTGTTGTTGAACCAAAGATTCATATTAATGATGATGCGTCCCCCACCTCAGAAATGGACGACCTTTATGACAGAGATAGCTCATTGAATTCTAGCAGACGGAAGAAAATTCTGCCAGATTTTGGCTGTAGTGATGGAGAAGATATTTCAGATTATAAAGAATCAAGGCATTATGGTAGAAGACATGCTGACAACCACGTTCATACTGCTAAAACAAATTATTTGGATAGAAAAGGTAGTCACAATATCCAAGACAAGGTCGGTCCATTTTTCAGAAAAAACTGGAATGAAAGGGAGTATTTTTGTGAAGATAGGGATACAGATTGGCATCGTTTTGGAAGAACACAATTCCCTAACGAGAGGAGTCTTCTCCCGAGCAGGGAGTCCAGAGGCTGGCACTCCAAGTATTCCCCACCCACTGTTAAAGAAAGGGATGCACAATTTAAAAGGAACGCCAACAAACTGCAGTTTAAGAAAATACCCAACCATGGTGGTGGCTGTTTCGGTTATAAACATGAAGATGACTTTGTGGGAGAAAAATTTGGGAGACGTGCTTCATTTACTGACCGAAAAAGGAATACTTTGGATGAATTTGATGAATGGCAGTTTCCTCGACTCAGGAGAGATTTAGGGGGAAGGGATGGATATGTTGACAAACCTGTTTTTGATTGGGATGATTCATGGTCTGGGAAAATTGAAGATGAATATTGCAGACATGGAGAAAATCAATACTTGTCCGATCAGTTGTACAGAGATTTACATGCAGGTGAAGGAAGATGGAATGATTCTCTATCACCAAGAAATGATGTTTCTTACTCAAGAACTGCTGAAAGATATGGGAGACGTGAACGAGAAATATACTCTGCTGAATCCAAAGAGAGTAACTGGTTTGATAATCGTTATGATGCTGATGAAATTGATGATATCATTTATCCGAGTGATCAGTTTAAGTGGAGAAGATCTAACTGGCGATCCTCGGTCCTACACTGGACTGAGGATCAGTTAACTGTCAGGCACCATGGTGACAAATTGTATTCTGAGAGGTCATCCCGTTCATATCAGAAATATGTAAGACATGAAAAATTTCATGCTAAATATGGTTCCTACAATGATGCAATGCATGTTGATATGCTATCAGAGCATGATAGATTAGAATTGAAGAGAAAAGGAAGTAGTGCTCACTGTATTAATAGTAGTTCTAAGATGTATATCGGTAAGCATGAGCGGACAGCCCTGAGGTGCAGAGGTTCGATTGACTTGGTTGTTGGGGAAGGAAAGGTACAGTTGGGGGAACCCAAGGTGAAACCTTGTATCATTGTACTTGTATATATGAGTGTTCAACAAGAGTTGAGCAAGCCTTTCTTATTCTTTTTAATGCTATCTCATTGCATTTTTTGCTCCTTTTCTCAATTGTTTTTTTCCTTTTCTCTTGTATCGTATTTTCACTTTCCTCTCTGTCAAGTAATGTGTTGCCTGTATGTTCTTGAATGTTGGTTCCCGTTCAGGTAGGCCTTGTAGTCCAGTGTGTCAAGCATGTAATGTGGGGGAATAAGGTTTCCCGTCAATCATCAAGGCATTATTGTATAATCTTCTATATGTTTCCTATTCCTCGTTATCTGTCAGGAATTTCAGGGTAAAGTTGTCTTGTCATGCTTGTTGATTTCATGGAGGTTGCAAGTGAGACTGCTTTACACCTTACAAATCAAAAGATAATGCTAAATATTTGAGTAAAATAGTGTTTTAAATTGGATGGTGGATAATAATAATAGGTGTTTCTTGAGATATCTTTCAAGTTAGCAGAATCTATAGTATTTAAGGTTGCAAACTTGCATGAATCCAACATACGTCGTACCCAGTGCACAAGGCTCCCGCTTTACGCAGGGTCTGGGAGAGGTGAATGTCGGCTAGCCTTACCCCCATTTATGGAGAGGCTGCTCCCAAGGCATGAATCCAACATACATTTTATTTAATTCTCTTGTTTGTTTTCAAATTTGCTTGTTTTTCCACACTACCCGTAATTGCATGCTACTGTTATAGTTTTGGGTGGTTTTCATATTTATGAATTGTCTTTCATTTATAGAGGAGATATTATAGTTTCATTTTATGTATTTTGTACAATTTCATGTTCTTACTTCCATGTTTATTTATGTTTTTATTTATTAGGGTTCATTTGATCAAAAACTTTGGTCTTCTTTTTTACACCATTGGGTTTATGTGATTTCAATGTTAGTCTGCAATTTTTTTTAAATTTTCTCATCAGTTGTTGTGGGACTCCTTTTGTGCCATACCCAATTCGAAGGAGAAAACAGAAGGGATTCTCCCTTATTTTACTATCATCTTTCGTTCTTTATTTACTGAGGTTCTTTGTTTTGTGCTGTCAAAAAGTTGCAGCCTTTGTCTCTTTGGTATTTCAATGCTCTGTTTGTTTATACTTCAAACTCTGGCCATCTACCAAGGACTTGCCAGTCAGCCATGTACAATGTCCTACTGACAGTCATGCTCTTTACTTTCTTTTCTATTGTCTGAGCATCCCTACAATGTACAGACAATTTAGAACTCTTAATCTTTGTTAGGCAGTTTAACAACTGAATATTCAATGTGAAAATCAAATATTCGTGTTTCTTAGATCAAATCTTAGTATCAAAGGGAAAAAAGAAAGTTCCCGTCTCCTGGATTTGATAGATTAGATATCCTTTGAACACAAGTGATACTTATTGAATGGTCACTTTAATTACCGTAGTTTGAAGTCTTTTACATCTGCCACCTATTTGAAGACACTTTAACGGATGTTGCAAGGTCTGTCTTATATGCAGATGATGTACACTATTTTAATTATTGTAATAATATACATGTCCTTGTTTTGTGATTTTGCAATCTAGACATAAGGGCAATTTGATATGGATGTCCTCTGGATTATTATGGCCCTATTCATCTTGAAATTACTATGAACGTTACCTTTTGGATAGATTTTGTGGTCTTCGGGCTTAGTGTGGTCTTACTTCCATCTATGCAATAGGTGGTAGATGTTACTTGCTTATTGTTGATGAAGCTGTTCGTATGAGGTAATATATGGCATTCATAAGGCTAGAATTGAAGGTTCATTTTTTACCTTGAATCCCCTTTTTTTGGTTTCTTAATAGGATCTGTGGCCACAGAACTTCTGTAGAATACAAGCTAGACGTTCGAGTTTAAAAGTTTGTCTTTAGTTCATCTGTAGTTGCATTATACATGGACATGCAACTCCAGTGTTTGATATACTAAACTTTTCGTAGTGCGATGTCTTTCTCTTTTACTGCTGTACCTGTTCTTTTATTTATTTTGGATTCTATTTGTAAGAATGTTTCCAAAGATCATATTTGGAACTTGCCGAAATTTTGTTGATGGTCCATTTTCTGCATGTTTCCAATCGGCTGTTTTACTGTTTAGTTGACTAATATTTTACAGATGTTTGACATTTCCTTGCTTTACGCTGCAGTCCTCTGTAAGAAGCTACAAACGTGGAACTTTGATTCACAATGGTAGGCAGGAAAATATGGATCCAGAGATTGGTGGGGAGCAGACAACTTTAGCGGATTCTAGTGAATCAAGGACAGTCCAATTTAACACCCGAAAAGTTGGACACAACCAAAACAATGCGAAAGGGCTTGATAAGTTTCCAGTTACAGCTCAAAATGGTGATATGGATGTTGAAGAAGGCCAGATTGTAACAGACGGCCTCAATACAGCACACCTACAGAGAAGACATGCTTCTGAGTATTCAGCAGCAGCTTCCAAAGTGAAAAGGCGAACGTTTGCCGGAGAAAGCGGTTCCAGTGGGAACAAGGTTGCAGAAGGATATGACAACCAAAGGATTCTTGAGACAAAGGCAAAAATGGAGAAACGCGGGGAACGGTTTAAGGAGCCAATCATCCTGAAAAAAGAGCCAGACAAGTTGTCCAAGCCTGAGATTGATCTTGTAGTTGAAACAGCTGAAGCACAGCTACATAGGCCATCCCGAAAGAGGCGATGGGGCGGTATAGAGGTTGTTTAGGAAGACTTGGACAAGCAGGTCAATAAAAGTTTAAAAACACAACTCAGAAATGGAGATGAAGAATCAGGTTAGAAATTTGTTCTATTTTCCTCTTTCAGTGAAATTGGAGGGAAGATTTGATACTTAGATTTAGTAACTTTTTCCCTACCTGTAAAAAACTCTTTGGTGTAATAACAATCTCCAATGGTGATTCAACTTTAAGGATTTGTACAATTTTCTGAAGGGTTGCAAACCAATTTTCTGATTTCATAGGGAGTCACTGCTTCCGGTTACTTAGTAATTTCTTTCTTAGGAAAACTAATGAAAGATACTTGAAAACTTTGAGTTTTAACGATAAGGGCAAAATAAAGGGTAAATTGAATAGTACAAGGATTGACTTTTTAGTGTAAAAATGTGGTTTTTCTAATACAATCTTATTTCTTCTCATACAATCTTATTTCTTTGAAGAAGTGATGGGGCTGGTTGCAGATGGCCAAAAATCATGTCATTCAGTTTAATATCGCTCTTGCCTGTATGCAGATTTAATCTGGTTCTTTATTTTGATATGGCATATATATAAGCTCGGTTGATTTTGATCACATATTTGATATTTCCTTTTGAATATATTGTAAATCGTTGTGAGCTACTGTCCTACTATGCAAGTTACTCCTTAAACCTAGGGCTGAGCTGAGGATTGAGACTAAAGTTTGTGTTCGTATCTTTCTCATAACATCATGCGTGGCATGTTACACGTAAGTAAGATACTAAAATGTGATATATATTTAGTATATTTGACATTTTTAACGGAAATAACACAAACAAGGCAATGTAGAACGAATTTTGAGTTTCAAAAAGTAAAATGACGACTTGTGATGTAAGAGCAAGCCCACACTGCTAAGGCAATAATTACCCTGTCGATTGGGCAAATCCAATTATTAGACTAGGTTTGTTGGGATTTGGACTTTTATCTCTCGTTAAAATAATTCAAAACTAGTGGAATTCTATCAACTGTAATTTTATTGAAATTAATTCCAAAACATAATGTACCAAAAAGTAAAACACGGACCTAAGGAACAATAAACAATATTTGTGAGGCCAATTTTTTTTTTTTTTCTAAAAAAGAACACACAAACTTGAGCTAGGGTTTGAAAACTAAGCTAGGGTTTGAAATACTAGCCAGGGTTTGAACATAACGGAAACGAAATACTAGCTTATAGCTAGGGTTCGAAAACTAAAAGCTGAGACAACAAATGTAACTCTTTATCATATCATCACTTGAAAGTGTTTGGGGCTCAGCAAAAATGGGCAGACTTAAAAGAAATGGGGAACTTGAAGGTGTTGAAGTAAGTGAAGCTGATGACATCGTTCGACTTCAACGTCTCTCCTCCAATCACCAAGCAATCATCGTCCGCGATCCTTGTGAAGATGGATTTGGGTATAACTTCTGCAGAAGCAAACTGACCACAGTGGACATGGATTTGTGAAGGAGCACAATCAGAAGTGCAGGTGTTCACAATCTCTACTGCGTACTTTGGGATCCCAGTTCCTGGAATTTGGGTCTGTGAGATGCTTATCTCTTCGGCTCTGCAGCTGGCTACAAAATCAAGACTAATTAATTAAGTAGCAAGTTACAATTAAACAAGAGTAGTTGAAAATCTGATTTATTTTCTGAAGACAACATACTATATTGTCATGGACTATCGAAGAGAAATTTATAATATAGTGCAAGATGACATTTTTGAAGTGCCGGTAACAATACCAAATTGTTATTTGATATTTACCTTGTTGCAAAAGCTTTCTGTGGGTTGAGTTTGCATGTTGGGATTGCAAAGTTGTTGCTGCAGAAAAGGAAAAACGTCACGGAATGACTCTCTTATACAAATATAACTTGATATGAAGATATATATATACACACACACACATATATGTACGTACGTATAATTAAACAAAGATGGGAGTTGCAGTACCAGAATGTAATCCTTGTGCATTGCAGAATGTAACCATGAGCGTCATGAACGCGAAGCACAAATGGGAACAGGCCATGATGTTTTCTTTAGTCAAACAAGGAAGAAAACCTGCAAACAAAGTTGATTTCTCAAGATTCGTGAAAGTAGCTTTTTTCAAAAGTGCTTGATACAAACCAATCAACAATAAAACTATAGATGCAGAACATAACTGAACGAAGTACTAGCTAATAAGGCTGTAGCCTAAGGAGAGTGAGGCCAAAAAAGACATATATGAATTAGATTTGCTCTATATTCTTGGAGAAGGTTTTTTTATGCATTCATCATCAAAAATTTCAACCTCAAATTCTTTTTTTTTCTTCTTATGGATTTAGAATTAATAGGATATCGGCTATTTTAATATAAACTAAACAAATACAAGGTGCATGCATGAGAAGCCACTAATAGTGCAAGAAAGAATTAAACCGCATGCAAACCAAGTGCAGGAATCAGACGGATCGAGACTTCGAGAGTAAACATAAAGGAGATTGCAAAAAAAAATAGTGTCTAAGAGACCTTAAAACTTGTAAACTTGAATTCTGAAAGTGCTTGAATGAAAAATAGCTAGAAATCGAGGACGAAAGCGTTGTCGAGGATAGCTAAAGAGTTTAGGGTCCTACTGTTTATCCTTGGTTTATATCAGTTTTTTTTCCCTCAACAATTAGGGAGATTAATTACTTAGCACTCCACTGGTTTCAAAACTTTTCTGATTTGGTCTTCTGTTAATGAGATTGAATCTTGATTTTCGCTCCAAATCAATTTAGTATGATTGTGTTCAACTCCGGAGATTTGCTTCCTTACTTGGACTCCAAGGATAATTTTATTTGGAAATTTTGGGCGTTTTGATTACTTTTTTAGGCAGTTCCCTTCAATTAGTGGTTTTTTTATTTCCATTAATTCACATGCTATGCATCTTTACTGGTTAAATATTGCTCATGACCGAAAAAAGGAAAACAATTATTAAGATATCGATTATTTTAGTTTAAGAGGAATGTTAAGAGATTTTCTCAAAGTGATACTCTTCATGTCAAATATTGTGTCAAAAACATGAGGTGCCAGAGTATTTATGGAAAGTCTCACTTTTAGCATTTCTCTTACACTCTGTCTGAATAAAGAAATTTAAGATAACTAAAGAATTTTAAAATGGAGGAAATTAAAATGACAGGATTTTATTTTCTATAATTTGTGAATTTCTTATTTGGTTAACCTAAAAGAATAATGGAATTGAATACGGAATTGTTATTTTTAAACTCTCAATCATAAAAATTGAGAAATGACACCTATTTATGTGAAATTTAAACTTGAGAATTGGAGGTCCCAAATTTCAAGTTTTTTTTTCCTTTCACATTGAAAATCTAAATTTCTATGTTTATGAATCCAAACAAAGGAATTTATGCATGTCAATTTATAAATTCTGACTTTTATCTAAATTTCAAGTTTATTTCTCTCATGTCAATTTATAAATTTTTAGTTTTATCTAAATTCTATACATAAATTAGTTTAAACTATAGCAAAACAAAGTGCATTAATGCTTATGGCCGAAAATAAAGATTCAAGCGCATTAATTCCTTGTTTGCTAATTGAAAAGGGGGTTAAATGCTTATGGCCCATAAAAGGGCATTAATAACATAATTCATATATTGGCTTAAATGTTAAAATGGTCCTTTTGTTTTAGTTATTGGGTCAATTTCGTCTCTATGTTTTCAATTTGTCCAATTTGGTCATTGTGTTTATCTCCGTTAGCCAATCAAGGATATTCCATCTAATTTATGAATTTTTTTATATATAAATGATTATAAACTTATTTATAAAATTATTTATTTGTTTAAAATATTTAAAAATTAAAAATTAAAAAAAAATATTCTCCTCCCAACTCTCCGACCTCCTCCCTAACATTACCCCCTCTTTTCTATGTCACAACCTTAATCATTTTTCAGATTGGAAGTTTTATCTCTTTTATAAGTTATTTCTCATCGACTTTCATTGTTCTGTAAAGAGAAACGGTAATTATATATCATATAATTTTTCTTATGAATTTTTTAAAAGAGATTGAATGAAATGTCCTTAATTGGCTAACATAGACAAACACGAGGACTAAATTAGCCAAATAAAAAACACGGGGACTAAATTGGCCATATGACTATAATACAGGGACCACTTTGACATTTAAGCCTATATTTTTTGGCCTAAAATAACAGTTTGGGTCAAGAATGGGCTGACCTGAGTTGAAAAGGCTAAGAATTCTAGTAAATATCCCTTAGACCGGTGGGCTTATAGCCCAAGAGAGGATTCAACTGAGTCATCATGGGAGTAAGATTGTGAGAGGATTAAGTGCATGTGTGGCTCGGTTGAGTCCTATGCAAATTAAAATTGCCAAACGTCAGAATAAGCCCTGAATAAATACGAATCATTCCAAGGCTAATAATTCATTCTTGATCAGATAAAGATAAATTAATCGCATAATGGGATCGAGTTCAGAATCTAATAAGTAAAAGTAGGAAAAGAAGGAAATTGAGAGAATCATAGTTGTGGAAGAATTGGGGAGTGAGATAATGAAAAAACATAATAATGGAGAAAATGCTATTATCTCACTCATCTGTTGCTCCCTTGTTTCTCTCTCTCTTAAAAATTGACCCGATTTCCCTTCATCGCCATCTCAACCTCAATTCTTCCATCCTCACCATCTCCTCTCCAAATTAACTCAAGTCTCTGTCCAAATCAGTTTCAGGAACTCCAAAGACTTTCTCCTACTCTTCACGTCCTCCCAATTTGATCGCTACGGTAAGCTTTGCAATTTTGAAGCTCCCTGCATATTTTGATATGAAATTTTTAAGTTTTTGGTTGATTTTCTCTGAATCATGGAGTTTTTGACTTATTTGTTCAATTACAAAGAGAAAGTTGAATGAACAAGCTTGGGTAAAAACTGATCTGGAAATTACTATCACCCTCGAGCATGAGTGAGATTAACATTTGCATAGTAATATAGGAAATTACTATCAGATTCCAATTTGCACAGCAATATAGTATTCCAATTTGCATGAGCGCAAGGCTACCATCGTCTCCAAGATCACTGGCCTTGTATTCAAGTGTAATCCTATATTGCTATGCCAATTAGAATATGAAATATTAAAAACATTGAAATGTTTTTGTCCCTTAATGGATGTAAAGTATCTATGCGTATGAATATTACAAACTCATTTAAGTACATTTCTTTGTCACATGCTCTGATCTGGTAAAACAAACCAAACAATATTATTATTTTTTTACAACTTAATGGAGAAATGATTTATTTTTGGGAACTTTAACGAAAAGCACCTGGTACTGTTCACTTTAACGAAAAACCACATTTTTATACTAAAAAGTCAATGCTGATACTATTCACTTTACCCTTTATTTTGTCCTTATCATTAAAACTCAAAGTTTTCAAACCCTTTTCATTAGTTTTCCTTTTATTTTTTGTATTTTCCTCTTGTTCATTTTTATTGTTCATAGTACTGGAAAAATTAAGATAGCATTTATTGTTCTTTTTGTAAGGTTTTTATGAGGGAGTGAGACTTCTACTTTGGCTTTAAGGATATCTCTCTTTGTTCACTATTTACCTAGATTATAACAGTTGTGTTATTGAGCTAACTTTTACTAGGGTCAAATTATTTGAAACTGATTCTACAAAAATGGTCAATGACGGGTTGAACTGATCCTGCAAAAAAATGTTGAAGATGGGTTGAACTAATTATGCAAAAATGGTCGATGACGAGTTTAACGGGTTGAACTGATTCTGCAAAAATAGTCGGGTTGAACTAATTCTGCCTGACGAACTGATCTGGAAAAATAGTCGAAGGCAGATTGAACTGATTTTACAAAAATGGTTGAGGACGAGTTGAACTAATTCTGCATAAATATCGAGGACGGGTCGAACTGATTCTGCAAAAATGGTTAAAGAGGGGTTGAACTAATTCTGCATAAATGGTCAAGGACGGGTTGAACTGATTCTTCATAATTAATTGAGGACGGGTTGAATTGGTTCTGCAAAAATTATCGAGGACGATTTTGAACAGATTCTGCATAAATGGTCGAGGATCGGTTGAACTGGTTCTGCCAAAATGGTCAAGGATAAGTTGAACTGATTTTGCAAAAATAGTCGAATACGGGTTGAATTGATTATGCAAAAATGGTCGATGATGGATTTAGCTTATGGCACATATTAATCTTGTTGGAGTTGTGAAGGAATAAGTTTATTAATAACTCTAAAACCTTATGGGTATGACTGGTATTTTAAAACATTGTTTCCATGTTTTTGAGTTGGGCTTTAGTTGTTTTTATATTTTTATCTCTTCTTGACATGTTTAAAAACTAGTAAAGTTTCTTGAAATATGGTGAAATTTTTTATCTCTATATATAAAGCTCCCTAAATTTTAAGGTGCATTCATACAATATATTAAAAAAAAAATCTTATAACCCTAAATAGTTATTTTATATTTTATTTTACGTGGTGTAATCAAGTGTTAATAAAAACCCAAAATAATTACAGACACTCAAAATTTTGTGATTGTCTCAAATTTACAAAACTTGTATGTCTCGAGACTTTTCAAACGCGACAAAAGGATATTTACGTAAATTCACTATAATTGTTAGCTTATATTTAGGGTGAAACCTCATTCAAAATTTACTCAGACAATAATCGACCATCTCAAATTAAAGTTACAAATAAGAATAAAAACTGTCGAAATTTAGAATTAAAACCAGTGAATCAAAGAATTGGAGTCCATTCCAGAAAATGACCCAACACTTGAAAACCCTAGGCAGCGTCTGCCAGTAAACTCTGGGCTGCAGCGTCTGCCTTAAGAAGCATTTTTGAAGGCACAGGATTTGGACCCCCCAAGTTCCCGCCCGTGTCATTAACCTTAAAAATCTCCAGTCCATTAAGTATGGCATCATAGTACTGCGGATGCGTTGCCAGACTCGGATGCAAACCCACCCACAGAAGATCATCACCGTCTTTGTCGTTCATAT